GTTTATAATGATTTTTTCACAATTCAAATGAACTAAGTTAAATAAAAGCAAGTTTAGCTTTGAATGTAGACACGTAATTGAATTACCACCTTAGACTAGAAAGATGACCTAGCAACTGCATTTAACAGCAGTAATTTAGCGTGGCGTTGCTATTTATAGGTACTACAGTATATATGTGATTTTGTGATCTGCTTGTCAAATCTTCTCTCTGACACTAAGATATGTTTATCAATAAAAATAATTTAAAGTAACAAAATCACACATTTCCCTCGTTTTAAATTTAAATAAAATATAAATGTGGATGAATTAAAATTTCACTTCTGACAACTATTAAAAAAATGAAGCATTAATTCTTTACTTAACCCAGTCGTACAGTACCTGTGATTAAATCCATACAAAAAAATAGGGTCCGGGTCTTATACCGACGCGTAGATAACGTGGATACCTAGGTGCCAGAATGGCTTATACAGGGTGATTCACGGAAACTCCTGACATTAAAGCTCAATAAAAAAAAAGAACTAGTAAAGATATCATTATACAATCTAAATTTTATGGAAAAAGACATTACCTGAATTTTGGCTTCACTATCTCCAATCCATGCATGGTTTCCGACACAAAAAAAACATGTGACAATATTGAAAATTTTAGTCCACGAACGAATTTTCTACTGTTGTTTAGGAAAATACGAGTACCTTCTGTGATAGTGCAAAACCAAATTATTTCCATTCATAAATGACCAAAAATGCATACGAAGTTCAAAGTAATACCCATCCACAGTCGCAAATAATATTAATTTTTAGATAAATTTCTTGATTTGAAAACTGACATTCCCAAACAAAGATAGATTATAATTGCTCTTCAGGTCGTAAATAAGTTTGTCGATACTGAGGAGGTTGTTTCCTTGATGTTATTTCTTTTCTATTGTGCGGGTCTGTGATTTCTGGGGAAGATTTTTTGCGCCGAAAAGGGCAAATCTCTTTAATTGTATAGGGAAGTTTCCCCTGCAAATAAAAAATACTCGTTGAATCAAATTTGTATGCCCAAAATGAAGAAAAACCATTAACAAGTCCCAGCCCAAATAATATAAAAAGTTAATCAGTATCAAAATAAAAAGCTTGAAACCCCTAATAAGTTTTGATGAAGAATGGCGAGCCTACGTCAACAGCCTCGACTTACCAAAAAGTTAGGTTTTAAACTTACGGACTATTTCATAACAAAAATAGTCTATAAATTTCGTGATAAGAACGATACTATGGAACTACCAGGCAGTCTAAAAAAATATTATGACTACCAGTCAGTCCTCGAAAAAGTCATATAAGATATTCTCTCGATTTCAAATTCAAACAATCAGGAGTAGCAAACCTACTCATTACGTAGATGTTCGAAAAAAGTAGAACAATATTAATTACATCAAAGTCTACTTGTGTGTTCACCTATTTTTCCCATTTTCAAACTTTTGCACACCTCTCCTACTCATTTTTCATTCGAAATAAAGTACCAAAAGACACATACGAATCCTAGTGCATCAATGGTGAATAAAATGCTACTTCCCTTGCAGGATTTCTGTGTTCTTTGCCGTACAATCGAAGGATTTTTGTTCCCATTTTATATTCAAGTGGTCAATGAAAAACTTTCACAGCGAGTCCCTCTAATTTTAACGAGATTTAATATGTTTAAAACATTGAAAATAAGTGCGCAGACCCAACGTCGTACCGCTCTACATAGGAAACTTTCAACAAGTCAATGGATTTACACTAATTGAAATCCTTTCACTTTACCGAGAGTCAACAGATGAGCGCCTGCAGCCTTCACTCTGAATCCATAAGAGTTGGGCGAGCTTTTTTAGCTCGAGTGTCCTTACCTTAATGGTTGCATGCAGAGACGCAAGATGGACCTTGCTTTCCTGTGGGTAATCTGTATGGGGAGACAGGCAAATCTCTTTAATTGTATAGGGAAGTTTCCCCTGCAAATAAAAAATACTCGTTGAATCAAATTTGTATGCCCAAAATGAAGAAAAACCATTAGCAAGTCCCAGCATAAATAATATAACAACTGAAGCAGTATAAAAAAAATGCTTGAAAATCCTTTATTAGTTTTGATGAAGAATGGCTAGCCTTCTAAATTCCGTGATAAGAACGATACTATGGAACTACCAGGCAGTCTAAAAAAATATGTTGCCCATCGGTCAGTCCTCGAAAAGTTTTTAAAATATGCTCTCAATTTCAAAATCTAACAATCAGGAGTAGCAGCCAGACTCATTACGTGGCTGTTCGAAAAGTAGAACGATATGGATTACATCAAAGTCTGCTTTTGTGTTAAAATATTTTTCCCGTTTTTAATCTTTCGCTCACCGCTCCTATTCATTTTTTTTTTATTTGTAATAATTAAAGTACCAAAAAACGCATATGAATCCTAGTGCATCGATGCTAAATGAAATGCAACTCTTTTACAAGATTTCTGTGTTCTTTGTCGTAAAACCGCAGATTTTTGTTCCCATTTTTACATTCAAGGGGGCAATGAAAAACTTTCACAGCGAGCACCTCTAATTTTAACGGGATTTACTGTGTTGAAAATATTGAAAAAAGTGCGCTGACCCAACGTCGTACCACTCTACATAGAAAACCTTTGAAAAGTCAATGGATTAACACTAATTGAAACCCTTTCACTTTACCGATAGTCAACAGATGAGCGCCTGCAGCCTTCACTCCAAAGCAGTGGTTGTTAACCTGGGTTCGATTAAACCCTAGGGGTTCGGTGTGTCGTTTTCTGGGGTTCGACGGTAGGGCGGTGGAGGCAACATCAACGCAGCGGAAGAAAATCTGAAGTCTTCTCAAAAAAGCTACAGCTATGGAAACGACGGACAGAGAATGGTAACGTTGCAAACTTTCACCTGTTGGATTACTGTGTAAGTAAGATCAAGGACATGTCCGGTATACCGGAGACATTTCTGTACCCAGGGAACTGAACAAAAATTGCAATGCACTTAGATGAGCTTGCAAAGTCTCTCGACGGATACTTTTCCACCAGAATCTCATACTCGACATGGGTGAGACAGCCGTTCACGTTTAGTGTTGCGACCGCAGACGTGAATGATGAATACCTGGACGAAATCATTGGACTACAGGAGAGCCAGGTTCAACAGCAACTCTTCAGAACAACAACGCTCTCAACGTTTTGGTGTCTCTAAATCGCAGCGTACCCCCTTATTGCTAAGAAAGCCCTGGATATTCTCATGCCGTTTGTTACAACATATCTTTGCGAGCAGTCCTTTTCGATGATGGTAAACATTAAAACGAAGAAAAGGAACAAACTTTGTTGCGAAAATTATATGATCGAGAGTGGTACTTGCGAAAGTGAAGCCGCGCATTCCTGAAATTGCCGCACTGAGGCAACAACAAAAGTCACATTGATTTGCAATGAATATTCATTTTGTTTTTGTTTATATGCGAAATTTATGTTGTGTAGGTTTTTTCTTTCAAGAAAGTGATTTTGTGTGCAAATGATGCATGGTATAGTTTATGCAGTTATACAGTATAAAGTTATACAGCATAGACATATGTTTTGAATTAAAAAAAAACATATTTTATTTTACCACCTACGAAGGGTTCGATATATACATGTATGGAACTTGCAGGGTTCGGTACCACCAAAAAAGTTAAGAACCACTGCTCTAAAGCCATAAGAGTTGGACGAGCTTTTTTAGCTCGAGTGTCCTTACCTTAATGGTTGCATACATGCGTAAGAAGATAATTGAAAGCAATAGGGAAAATCGCAGTAGAATACAAGAAGGCGTCACCATCGGCTGTCTTACCTTGTCTCTCTTTCTTCAAATTTAAAGATCACGCAAATGATATATATATTTCTTCAATTCAGCAAGAAATTAGGAAATTTTGTTTACGAGAATGTCTAATTTGCAAAGATGCAAAATTTATAATTTCCAATAGTTTCCTCAATGCCCATTAGCGCGTTACTTCAAATTTTAGTGTTTTAATTTTATAATAACTAGCAAGTTAGCCCGGCGTTGCCTTGCTTGATATGTCCTGCAATTTTGGAATCCGATCCTATCATCCTCATAACACCTAATCCCGTAATTATAATAAAGCTTACCTATACTAATTATTACTTTTCAAACCACCTTTTTACATAGAAGATATAACTTCCGTTTAACTCTTGTTTCAAATTCTGAAAAAACTATTCAACTTTTAAATTAATTTTATTTGCACCAATCGCAAAGTTTAATTTTAATTTTTGACCAAATCTTTTCCTAGTCTCCCAGTTAGAATGATATTTCCCGTCAAGGGCGCGATCATTTCCAGTATATCCCGGCACGATATGGATCCCGAACAGCCCTTATAAATATTTGTGGTAGCCGGATTCACACCAACCAACACAAACTTTGGCAAGTTCATATTATATTAAGCTTCGTTGTTGTATTTTTCGATGACAAAAGCATTTTCGATGACAGAACAGCAAAAAAAAATATTTCGAGACAAAGAGACATCATTGCTCGTTATGGCGTGCTCCTTCACTATTCTTTCGTGTGATTGTTAATTAAGCCGAGTCAATTAGTTCACTGATCACGAACCTAGTTAAACGTAAACTTAACCTAATAAATCATCCTTGAACTTGCATGGAGTGCAAACTATTTAATTGTTAAGGCTATTTTTAGTTAGATTGTTTGTGAAAGATGCGTAGCTACGAAGCTAAATAATTAAAATTCAATATACTGAAAAATTAACTCCATGTTACTGAAACTTGTTAATTAATGACCGACTGTGTTTATTTAGGTCTTACAATGTAAGCATAAAATACTTCCACCTCTTATAGTCTCGCGTCTAGTGAGTATTTTGTATTGTACACGGTTTCAAGCGGTTGATATCTCGTTAAAATGGCTAGTAGGAGTTTTAAAGAGAAGATAAATTATTTATTTTATTCTAGGATGCTGTGTAAAGCCTTATTTAATCGCGCCCGCTTCATTGGGTGATTAAAAAATAACGAGACATGTTTAGTTAATCTTTATTTCTAGCATTAACCGACATAAACACAGGAACATTCATATATCTGGTGAGTTCAAGTTTCGACCTTCCGGTATTAAATTTAAATCAAATGAAAGAAACTCGTATCACTAACAAGAAATATCTTATCGAGCGAACACAAAGTCGTCCGTCCGCTGAATGCGCTGCACCAGAACGGAACGTTCGGTATCCAATATCGTGGGTTCATTTTCCATTACTCCACACGATTGGGATGGAGCTCTGGGCGGCGATGAAGCAGGTATTTTCATTATTTTCAGTATCCATTTTTAACTTGAAGTATCCATTTTCACCCCACTTCTCGCCCCACGAATTCTTAACGATCCAATAATCCCAACCTTTTTCGCTTGTGCTGTATCCCACGACCAGCACAGAGTGGTTTATATCGCCTCTCTCTGGGCAATAGAAAACCCCTGGCAGGAGATGTAAACAATCATTGTAACTTTTCAAGTCCATACGTGCAACAAACAGCAGGTTTTGATCAGAGCCTACTGATCGCAGTTTATGTTTGAAAAACAAATGCATGAAAACCGGACATTTACTGTTCTAATTCTCGCGTTAACATGGCTCCTGGAAATGAATTCTATATATTCATACTACTCACAACAAAATCTGCATTCCAAATACCTAGTCAGCTGTACAAAGAACTATATAATTCCTTGTTAAATGAGGTTCGTGAAATATTCTTCGAGTAAACCTTAGGTAAAACTAACAGCCATTGATGGGAAACATTATACCAGAGACATTGAAATCAAGCGTTGGTTACAAATGACAATCTAACTCACCTCCGGTGTAATCGTAGAAATCCGGACCGTAACGCGGAGGAACAACCGAAATGCCGACGGTGACGGGACCATACTTAGCCACGGCTTCCTTCAACGCCCACTCGTCGTTTTTCTTGAAGGCGCGATAACCGTGACTGACGGCAGCTTGAGATGTGATATTCTTCTGACACTGTCCTCCCTTAGGATAAAAACATCATTATTAATATGGGGAGACTGCAAAATTAAGAAGATATTTTAAATTTCATGTTACAAAATTGGATATCTGATCTGGACGCCTGCCTTCAATTAACTAATCGACCAAATTTATATAATGCCCACAAAACCATGTCATTTAATATGAAAAATAGTTTAAAAAAATCGGCAACTCTAGCAAAATATTGAGAGAGGAAAATATTAAGAGGAAAATAAAGTTAAAACCAATTTTTTATTCTCACAGGGCCATGGTATGGATACTGCTCCTCGGTAGCCAGGCCCCCGTTTCTTTCGACGTATTCATATGACAGTGCAGGAAGACCACCTTTACAGTAGCGATACTGAGAGCAGTGCACCAGTTGCTGCGTTGACAGCACTGGCAGAACTCCAGTCTTCAGGAACATCTGGCCCTCTAATGCTCCGGCCTGAAAAACAATATTTTATGTCTTCTCCAACATAGGCGGTTAAGGAGATACCATTGAAGCAGCACTCCAGCTTAACCTGGGACTATATTAAACGATTGTCCGATAACAAAATTACAACATTTTCTACCATTAGGAGTTTCAAACCATTGCCCTGAGTTGTGTGTGTTGGTTGGAATTAGTGATAAAACCGTCTTCTGGTTATTTAAAGTTACAAAGGTTAAAGACTACTTAATTTTATATTTGAATTTGTAAACAGAGCCTAAAGAATTTCACCAAACATACAATACAGACGTGACTGCAGAAATAAAATGACACAATTACAATATTTGGTACTTTGATTCAAGGTAGTAAAAAGAGATGTGCACTTGAAGTGTCAGGCCAAGATATATTCCTTCCTACACCGATAAGACGAATCTTCAAACGTGTAAGACAACCTATATTTGAAGATTTTCTTCCATCCGAAAACACAATTTCTCACACAAAGCAATTTCCTTTGATATGAACGTACCGTGATACGAATAATTTTTGACCTTACAATCGAACTCGTTTAAAAATAACGTACTGCCGAGAATGCGTAGCTTGCCCTGCAATGACCCTGGTCCCTAACTGGGGTCACGGCACCCTTCTCTCTCCAGTCCACTTTATCGGGGAGACCGTCATCTTCGACAGCCCTGACGGAGGCCGCAACACGACGAGTTTCGCGTTCCAGGTAAGCGGCTTCATGTTCCGGCATGTGTTGCAGCCCGAGCATTTCACTTGCCTCTTGCCGAGTCTGTCAAATTATACGTATAATTATAATTATTGCAATATAATTTACAATTATGCATAAATTATATAATAACAGAGATAAAGGCTACCGATTGAATCAGTGATACGATCAGTAGCACTTGAATTACAGATGTGATCTTAATCATCCAATTATCAATTTTCTTGCTATATTGATTAAGTTTTGGAATTTGTATAAGACAAAATCTTAGAACTCACCATATCAGAGAACCGAGTCAAGCCGACCTTGTACGGCACTTCGCCTCGCGCAAACTTTTCGTTATGCAGCGAGACACGAAGTTTGCTGCGCATGAACAAATTGTAGCGGAACCTCTCCTCTGTAGGGCTGCTGTAGGCACGGTTGTGTTCGATCTGAAGAATAAATCCGAAGCCAGACTTTAAAGACCTTAAATGAGAATATTCGCTGAAAAAAAAGTTAAATTATAATGCGAAATTTTAAAAAAATCACTCTAGTACAAAACCGGTGTAGCTCAGAAATGCTTGCGACAATCATACTCTCGGTTTGAAATCATTGGCGATGAGCATAAATATCAACGGACACAAATGAATCATTTCATATTTATCCTTTCTGTAAATACTTGTACTTTTTTATTTTCCGCTTAAACGCAATTATTTACTCAATAAAAAAAATAAATAATTATAATTGGTAGATTCTGTAAATCGAGCATTACGCCGACAGCTACAACTTAGGCTGGAAACGATAACTTATCATCACTTCTACGTCTTTTCGCCTCATTTTAGACAAAATTTCAAAATCTAATGTTTCACAAAAGTTATATAATAATATAATAATAATAGCGGTTTCAGCGTTTATTAGGCCGTAGGCCTGTCGCCGATTCTTAACATCGCAGAACATTCACAGCATTTTGCGGTCTCGAACTCGCAACTCACTGCTTCCATTCTGCTGTGCTTAACCGCCCGGCCTCCTTGCCGATTCTGACCAGAAACTGGCGCACAGAGCTGGGATCGAACCCGCGCCTCTCTGCTCCAATCCTAGTACTCTGAACCTTAACCACTGGGCCACCACTTACACAAATTAACTGACTAACCTTGAAGTTTGTGAACTCCTGGTCGAATATCTGCTTGAATGGCCAGGCAGATGCCACGGCCAAAATGGCCATGAAAAACTTGATGGACATCTGTTAAATATTAATACATTGAGATTGGAATTGAAATGTACATGCGCTTCATTTGAGGACACTAGTGAAACCCGTTCTTTTTAAATATAATTATTGCATTATCATCAACCGGTTAAGGGTATTTGTTGAACACCGATTCTGACAAGAAAATATTCCTGTGGATATGGCCAGCGTACAGCGATGTTGCTGTTTCAATGAATCTAAATTCAGCTTCTCGACTTGTTGTCGATCACTCAAACTTCTCGACCATATCAGTTCTCAGGAATTGTTAAAATTATTAATTGAACAAATCTCTTTTGTGTTTGTTTATGAAGGTATCAATAAAAAGAACATTGATAGGTTTGATAGGTGACATAGGTGAACTTCAGAGTTTAGACAATACCTAACTGATTTCACCTCAAAGGCGGTTAATAGTACACTAAATTATATCTCAAGAACTCACCATTTTTTTAATGTCTCCACGAACCGACAGTCAGATCAGGAGTGAAGAACTGAGTGCGCCGACCTCCTTTTATACCCGGGCCTCGCCCGCCCATCATCCACAGTAATCGGCATCAAAAATTATCAGCCTCTTCGTAGGGATAAGACATGGGCTGTGAGGATTATCTTCTATTGACATACGATTCGATATACGTATTGATATACTCCTTAGTATTAAATATCTGGTGCAGAGTACTATACTGTTGCTAATATGTTATCCTATTATCTGTTTTGTATTTCTCTCTTCTCGAAATCTTTGTTTGCGGTTTCCGAGATCGATTCTATCGTCTATATCTTCGGTTATTGATTGTATAACATCCAATACCATTAAAAATTATACTTTTGGCTCTTTCGAATCTCTTGGGGTCATTATATCTGAAATAGAAAAATATTCCTTTCCTTTTTTAAGTACTGGCGTATTTACGAATAATAAGCACAAAATATTTGAAATAATATTTTAACTTGATCCCTAATTTCATCATCAATTTAGAGAAAATAGCTTTGAATTATTACGAACAGCTTATCACTAAAGTGCACGGCATTTTTCCGTATAATATAATGTATTGCCAAAATCATATGGAGCATTTCCAATCACGCTATAAAATATTGCAAATAATAATGTATAAAACGTTCCAGTTAATGCTTATTCACTGTTCGAATGTCGTAAATAAGTTAAATAAGATTTAGTGACCTTGAACTTTGATTAATAAGAGTATTATGACAATTGGTAAACATGTTATGATTACCAACACCAAAAAATAGCCTTTGCGGTTATTTATAAAATACAAACGTTCAAAAATGGAACGATGGAATATCTTTTTCCATCATTCACGTTTTAAAGTATTGCAAATAATAACGTTATAAGACATTAGTATAAATGTTTCTTGAANAATGAAAAAATTAGAATCGGATATATTATAGCATACGTTTATAATATTGTTATTCATATGATTGTTATGGGATTGGGAATAAGTTTTGCCGGCATCGCTTCACGCATGAATATATGTCATATATTGAGTCTTATCATGTAACTTTTAAACCAACAAACTGCTACAGATTCATCATAAAAGTTGCCTGCCAAGTTCTGTACGCTCAACTACCATATATTCATACTGTTACAGGATAATTCGAAATTGCAAATTGATGATGTTGAAACTAGCGATTTCACAGCAACACTTTATTTCAGTTTTGTGCAACTCATATAAGATCTGTGACACATTCGACAGTTATGTATTTCAGAATATTTTTCATTGAAACAACTGTCATTTATCAATCGTATTTTAGATGTGCAACCAGTGGGACTGTTCAGCTTTCCCTTTCAAAGTTGGCTTGGCACCAACGCTTAAAGAGTTCAGTCTTCTTATGGTAAACTAATTAACAAGTTTCTGCACTTAAATAGAAAACGGAACATATGCAAATAATTTCGAAAAAACGTAGAGCCCTCTATTAAGACAAGTTTGATTGAATCGAATGCAACTGCCACTGAGATCTTCTTTGGAGTTAAGCTGCTCCAGCTGTTAAATAATTGGTACAATAGTAGAGGCAACGCGTTTTTCAATTTATCCAAACGGAAATGTAGTAAGTAAAACATCTCACCAACCATTCGTTTATCCTACTATTGTAATTATAATTGGACAGCTGGAATAACAAAATACCAAAGAAGTTATAATTTAAAATGGCATTCTTTCAATCGATTTTTCCTGATTATGTGTCGATCTTGATTTCTAGAACCTTAAAGGATCATCGCAAGGGCCGAGTTCTACACACCGCAGCAGTCCATCAGACTCGCAGAATGTATTGAATTTTCTATTCAAACCAATTCGCACCTGAACATGTTGAAATTAACCATTACGTGGCCTCCTTTCAGTCATCAATATTTCGGTCTATCCGGTCCACTAAGGAAAAACCTTCAAGGCAATCTGTACGTCGCTGTCATTATTAAATCTAGGCGGCTATTTCGATACCGCGGTAATATCTCTTACCTATTAATGATGGTGATTAAATACTCAGGCTTGTTTGGTGAAGCCCGTAAATAAAGGACTTTAATAGTTCAAATAGATTTATCAAAAACTAAATGTATAAATTCCAGGTCGAGATAATACAAATTTCCAAAGGTGTTTGCCACGGAAAGAATTATTTTGTTATCCCAAACTAAATATTTCTGAATTTCGTTGGTCCAGGACTCGGAACTTTGTTGTATACGCTTGTTGTATGAACAATGGGCTTCTGAATTTAGGCTTATATATGAGAAATGCTCGCTATTGCGATGAGATGTGCAAATAATTGGCAGAAATTCAGTTGATGCGTTCATATTATGGAAATGTTACGAATTCATGACAAATAGTATTAAAGGGTATGAATATTTCTTTAATTTACAAAATGTTACTTCTTTCGAACAAAAAATTTAATTTTACTGTGGTTTACTTGGTAATAAAAATATGATCATGATTTTTTGAATGAATGTCAATCGCCCATAAATGTACATTATGAATATTTTAGCTATGCCAAATTAGTTTTCTATTGAAATTATTGACATTAATAGCCTCACATTCGTTTGTATTCTATTTTTACTGATTTTTCCACTAATATAGTATTATGATGGCGGCCACTAAATCAAACGAAACTAGCAGTTCGAACGAATTAAAATTTGCTAATACATTTATTCCTTTTAACCGATTAGTAGCTATGCAAATAGAGTATAATGAACGATTTTACTTGCACTTTACACATAGCAGGAAAGCTTAATTTGGCGGCCTAACCATTATTATGATTGAGCAAAATGAGTGATCGCTAACATTTTCCCTCGGTCAGTCATGAACAAGTTTACAAAATAATTTTTTATCGGTTAACGAATACAGATTTTTCCGCTTACAATCAATCGATAAGTCCGGCTTCCATGGCAATCGTTCGAATTTTTCACCAGATTTGTGACACTTTAAAACCCCGTAAAGAGCAAACAGAATATGCACATTTGCGGAAAAAGATGGTTCACTCAGTTCTTCAAGTTTATATTTTTTAATGGCCGTATTTTTTAATAACCGTAATAATAACCGTTTTGGCTAATTTTTTTATATTGGTAATAATTATATGTTTCCCAATGTTATAAATTTTTGAAGACATGGTTGCAACGACATAGAGATGGTGTCGAAGTCGATAATGGAAAAAGATTTAGGAGTTAATGTCGACAATGAGCTGAAGTTTTCTAAGCATATTGAAGCTCAAGTTAATAAAGCCAATAAACGACTTGGACCAATCAGACGCTCTTACGAGTACATAGAAGCTGAAGCGATAAAGATGTGGTTTGCCGCTGTTGTGCGTTCGAACCTAGAGTTTGGAAAACCCGTGTGGTCACCAAAACTAGAAAAGGACAAAAATTTAGTCGAAAGTGTTCGAAGACGTGCAACAAGGATTATTCTGGAATTAAAAGGCAAGCCTTATGAAAAAATATTAAAGATTATGAAGCTTCCAAGCCTCTGTTATCGACGTCTGCGTGGCGACCTCTTTGAAGTATAGAAGCTTACCAGCGGGTTAGAATAGAAAAGAATAGAATAGAAGTGTCGGCGTTGAAGAAATAGGCCCATGGCCTGTTGCCGATTCTTGAACTTTTCGTGACTTGATTCACAAGGGATCCGGCCTTTGGAACCCGATCTTTCTATAGCTGACGATTGATTGAGATAGTTGCTAGACTTATTGCCTGTTCCGTAATTTGCTAGGCATTTTAAGACTGAACATATGCTCCTGCATAGCTTCGTCTAGTCTGTTTTTGAAGATGTTCATACTCGGAGCTTCAACGATGCTATCAGGGAGGCTGTTACGTGTTGGGCACTTTAGTGAAAGTTGTTCGTAATAATTAAACACTATTTTATCTACATTGATGATGAAACTAGGAGTCTATTTTTAAAACATTATTTTAAATATTTTTGTGGTAATTGTTAATGAATACGTTAGTCAGGGAAAGATGCAAAGGAATGTTATTCTATTTTGATAAAAATGCCTCAAATGGTTCGAAAAAGTCAAGATTATTATTATTTATGCGACATTGATTGTCACAATCAACGACCGAATGTTTATACGATAGCATCGATCTCGGAAACCGTAAACAATGATTTCGAAAAGAGAGAAATACAAAACAGATAATAGGATAACATATGTCAGCAAGAGTATAGCACTAAGGATATTTAATTGTTCTATTTAATACTAAGGCGTTCAAATCATTTGTCAATACAAGATAAGCATCACAGCTCTTTCGGTTATCTCACGACGAGGCTGATAATTTTTGCCTCCGATTACTGAGGATGATTTTCGGGCGAGTCCTCGGTTATAAAAGGAGGTCGGCGCACTCAGTTCTTCACTTCTGATCTGACTGTGGGTTCGTGGAGACACTGAAGAAATGGTGAGAACTGTGACTAGACTACAGCAAGTAATTCATTTGCAGTTTCTGAAAACTCAGAATACATCTTTCTGCCGAAAAAAAATCCGGCATTTTATTTTTAGTCTCAAAGCAAAAAAATCAGTAAAGATTACTTTTTAAAACTAACTTTAAAAATTGAATGCTTAAAGCTATTGGTCATTTTGAAAAGCACAAAGTAAATAACTTGATCTGCGAAGAAATTATCAACTGAATTGTTCTTCGATGAATTTGAACGGATGAATGAGGACAATTTACAGCTTCAGCTAACAATATCATTTAATAATTTGATTTTAATTTAATAATTTGATTTTGATTTAATTGATTAAATTTATAAGAACTATGCTCAAACGATATGTTGTTCAGTATTATAATTTGATTAATGGAGTCAGTCATTTGGATAGCACTGAAGTCCCCGATCTATGCATGAATAACACAAGCTTAGCCGTTAGTATATGTCAGAACATTTAATCATCAGAGTTATAAAAAAAATTCTTCTATTGATTACCATGAAATCTATTCATCATTCTAATACACTCAACGCGATTTCCTCATGCGTAGATACCCTCGCACATTCTTCAATATCTCTCCCCCTGTACACGACAGCTTCAATAACTTTATCTTACACAGGCTACATTGGCGGTTTTCCTGTCTCTCTTGGCCATCGCGTCTGCGTGGCACTTCAAGCAAATCTTCGACCAGGAGTTCATAAACTACAAGGTGGGTGGATCACGTAGAATTGAATCTGTAGTTATCGAAGTGTGAAGCGCGACACACTATTAGGGCGCTGAGACATGACAAGTGAAGCTCGACAAGCGAGATTAGTTTCCTAATTCTACGACTGAGTTTAGTACTTTTCCTTATTCGAAAGACAAAGATTGTTTCCTGATGTTTCCCATGCTAGCTAATGGCTGCATCTTCGATCAACGGATTTCTGCGCGACTTTTTCGGAGCTGATTGGTCAGAATGGTCTTAAGAATTTTAATTCATTCTATATACACGCATACCCTATTCTTTCTGCACAAAATATTCCGACATCCTTCAGACATTTTCCTAACAACAGTTGTGATCATGACTATCAGAATGTTATGATCAGTCGCAAGCATTGGAATATTTAATATTATCAACCTGTTATTTCTACCTGTTAGATACATTACCTCCTGAGTAACGCCAAGTGTTTATCTCGTGCATATATAAAGTCGAGTGAATATCATTTTGTTATACTGTCGTAGGTTTTTTTTAGATGCGAACGCAGAAGAAGTGCGAAAATTTCGACTTGTTTCGACTTGGCGATGAAAGAAAATATTTAGGGAACACTTAATTACATGATTAATTTTATCTTCCACTGCATGCATTTAGTCAAATTTTCAAGGGGTTTTGAAAAATAAAATAGATTATTTCTAATGCGATCAATATAATTAATAATTGATCATAATTATTGTCCCAGAGTTTATATCAGTCACAGCTTTGAATTCGTCCATAAGAATATGTATTCGTAGCTGTACTCATGTACTTTTCGATGACGTACATGGCTGAAAATGTCCATGATTTTTACAATTATAAATGATATTTTTATTGTATTGTTCTATTGATATTTTTATGATTATATACGATATGATATGTTCATAGCATAGTGATGAGTATACTTGTATACTTCATGTCGTCATTCTCATGATTATAAAAACTTATTCGCCAGATCACCCATAAGAAAACTTACAGCTCGTTTGTAGAAGAGACGATCCGCTACAATGTCTTCCTCGAAAACAAACTCCGCATGTCGCAGCACAACGAAAAGTTCGCGAGAGGCGAGGTCTCCTACGAGCTTGGCGAAACTCAGTTTGCTGACCAGGCGAGTCTTCTCAATACGGCTTCTACGAATTCAAAACTTTTAAATATTTAAATGTACTACAAAATTGCTATCAGATTTGGATTGAAATTTACGACTTATTCATTTACATGTACTACTTGTCTACTGCAGGTTCAATAACGCTTTGTTGTCTTTAATTTAATAATTTCATACCACAGACTCACGACGAGCACAGGCAAGTGCTAGGCCTTTTGAGTTTGCCTGAATTCGACGTCGCGTACCTAGAGCGCGAAACTCGTCGTGTCGCTGCCTCCGTTGTTGCTGTCAAAGACGACGGTCTCCCTGATTACCTGGACTGGAGGGAGAAGGGCGCCGTGACTCCGGTCAAGAACCAGGATAGATGTGGCTCGTGTTGGGCTTTCTCTGCGGTACGTTAGTATGGAAGTCAGATCTTTGGTTTGACTGAGAATTGCTCAGATTAGCTATTGTATAAAAAATTATTTCGAAGCATGACAGATGTTCCCTTTCTAGTCGCTCCATAAATACGATAATGAATCCGATATTGCCAATGTAATAGTCAGGGTAAACCAATTCAGTGAGCAGCCTTGAGTCAGCGATCCACGTCTATGGAATTTTTTCCAATGCTAACAGGACTCCAGAAAAATGTTAAGCATCTTCTATGTTACAAAGCCATGCATGAATCAGCTCCTATCGTTATACCACCAAAGATTCCATGTCTTACACCGTCGAGTTCTTTTTTAACTGAAGCGATGAAATTCCACAGGTAGGAGCATTGGAGGGTCAGATTTTCCGGAATACTGGAGTTTTGAGAAGCCTGTCAGTGCAACAAGTAGTGGACTGCACTGAAAACGCTTTGGGGTGCGCCGGAGGTCTGCCAGCGTTGGCTTACGAGCAAATCGAAAGGTCCGGTGGTCTTGCCACCGAAGAAGATTACCCATACATTACTTATGTGAGCCTTAAATACTAATTTCATAATGTTTACGAACGGAATGAGTATACTGTCTCCCTCGAAAGTCATACATTACTTTTAATTTTTTTTATTGATATGCATTAGTTAAGATGTGTGTTAAATTACCTATGAGGGTCGTCGATCACACTTAATGAATAGAGTAATGAATTATAATAGCCTGTCCGATTCCCATACAAATGTCAATAGAGTTAAATAATAATATTTATTTATAGACATATGGCAGTATTAAAATTGAATAGAATAGAAGTGTCGGCGTTGAAGAAATAGGCCCGTGGCCTGTTGCCGATTCTTGAACTTTTCGTAACTTGATTCACAAGGGATCCGGCCTTTGGAACCCGATCATTCCATAGCTGACGATTGATTGAGAATGTTCATGTTAATGCTGACATTCTTTCTTAGCAAGGAAACTGTAGCATGCGACACATGGATGGAGGAGTCGACCACGGCTATCGCGCTTTCAAGAAGAACGACGAGCAGGCGCTGAAGGAGGCCGTCTCCAAGTATGGCCCCATCTCCGTCGCCTTCTCCGTACTTGATGATTTTATTCATTACAAGCGCGGTGAGTGAGAAGCATTATTATTTCAAAATTAAATACCTATCCTGGAGGATATTCTGATTCCCACGGTTGAATATGTCTTCTATCATACGTGCTGTACACGCTTAACATGATCACTACCTATCTTATTCATGCATTACTATTTTATTTAATATGTGCTAATTAATTCCTCGTCGTGCATTACTTTTTCTCGCAAGGACAGCATGTACATTTTGTTGGATGCGCTACCAAAGAAATGTATTCACAACCATTTTCAATGCCGCCATAAAAATAATTTTGAATTGATTGTTCGCATCAGTAATTGTCAGTGGTATAAGTTCGAAATAAGATGTAATTCATGTAGATGTAGTATGTTCACGATTGCGGAACTATTTTTGAGTATTCGTCCCAGGTGTGTACGAGTGCAGCAAACGGGCCGCGCTCAACCACGCTGTGCTGCTCGTGGGCTACGGCAGTGATGAAGTCGATGGAGATTATTGGATCATCAAGAATTCGTGGGGCGTTAATTGGGGGGAAAGAGGATACTTCAGAATGGCCAGGAACAAAAACAACACCTGCTTCATCGCCGCCCAGAGTTCCATTCCAGACGTTTGGTTTCATGGGAACTAGGATAAAGTGACATAACAGGTTGAGGTGTGCAACTTTGCTCTTTAATGCATTGAATCCGAAGTGGTAAATATGCGTAACACGAAATTCTCCAGGACGTAGTGGTACATAATTCAGGGTTGCCGAAAAATTGGCCAAGTCCGCGAACAAAAAAGGCCAATAGGGCCTATAACCCAACACATATACTAGCATATTTGTAAGTTCCGGTGTAAAAATTAAATATTTTACAGTTTTTTTAAATTTAATTACGAAGTAACCCTATCATAGATAATAGCTGGCCAACGCAATTGAAAAAACTAAATCGCGGAATTTGTCCGGGGATAAAATACCGTCTGGCAACCCTGTTTCAAGAAAGTATTAGAAATTAATAATAGCACCGAACGAAGCAATCGTAGTCAAGGCGTTAAAGAGGCACTTTGTTTCAATTCATACGAAATCACCTAAGCTTGATATACCGCAGTTTCTAATTGGTTTGTATTTCCATGCATTACTATGTTAATAAAATGTAACAAGGATTATCTGTCTCAGTTTCCCCTTGATGTCATGCACTAGGTTAGTTGAAACAATATTATGGAACATAATACATTAATAGGGTAGGGATTATGCGTGAACATTAAAATTATTGTATCAATTTTTTCGATCAATGTTGTTGACGATTGCGATACAGTTTGGAATTTTCATCCTTGGCGTAAAACTTGCCTTAGCGGATTGATAGAGAGTACAAATTATCCACATATTTTCAGATCCATAGTTACAATTTCTATACAGTATTTTTTCTGGGTAAATGGGACTCACAAGAACTATCTTTACATGTGAATGAATATTTTTTGTAACGCATGTATGTACATAGACACATCGTCTCTGAAAATGACTAATAGGTTACCGGCCACCTCTTTACGGTATAATTCAATCATTAAGCCCAGAATTTAAGAATGCAGTGGATGATGACTGGTGTGAAAACCAGCGTTCGTATAAGCTGGCATCACCGCTCCAGACTAGTACGCGACTAAAAACTATCCCGCGGGTCTGACCCAGACCCGTCTCATCATGGTTGAACCATTTCAACCATGGGTTCGAAAGTTATGTATTAGTGGGTAATGCCGGAAGCAGTAGGGGCTCAAGGGTCAGTCTTGAATGCTGAGGGCGCAGAAAACGCTGGAATGCAAAGAGTGCGGCGAACAAAACATCCGTTGAATGCGGCGGAAAATCAGGGTATTCCGTAATTTCAGAAGGTTGAAGGCTAAATGGAGCTAAAGCTGCAAAATATCACAAAAAATGACTCAAGAAATGCGAATAATTTCCTTTCATTTTATATTAAATCGCGACCCGTGCATGATGCATCATATCATAAAAAAAAACCTACAATGTACCTAGTTTTTTGGTACATGTAAAACTGGGTAAAAATGGGTGCAAAAATTGAGAATAGAAGTACATGTAATAGTGGGTCGTACATATAATCGCGTGCTCTCGCGAATCTTTCTCAATTATTTCCGGAAAGATGCTCGAATATTATCCACTTTTTTTCTTAACAAATTTAAGGTCTGCATTTACTACTTTTTCCGCGTAATTCCAACGAGATGTTCCATGCCTTATCTCTTTTTGATATGTTGGAATATTCTGAGCAACGACCTTTCCAAAGGCACGGCAGTTTGCGGTAGTCTTCTATGAACTTTGTTTTAGTTAAAAAGTTGGGGCTCATGAATAGCCTGGAGTCCGCCATCGCTGCATACATCCTCTCGGATGTATGCAGCCGCCACTGCCGCCCAATACAGCAGCAGTGGAAGCCCTGGCTCGGCTCGCCTTTTCTTGCCCACCTCTGCTCGTTTGGCGCCATGTTTGGGGAGTTTTTGAGGCTAGCCGGGCTAGACTCGCGAGTCGGACTCTATGGTGTATGGGGCCCGTACTCGCTAGTAATGCTAACATCTGGCTGTTTGGCGCGAAATACAAAACATAAAATTATCGTAAATCACCCAGTAGATGGATCGATCAATAATTTTATATAAATCACCTCCCTGCGCTCAAAAAATCACGTGGCAAAGAACAAATTGAACAATACTGCATTGTGCATAAACATGATAAAGCAACAAGGACTCCGACAGTTCTCAGAAGCTCGACCTTATTTCTTCCAGGTATAAAAAAAAATCAATTCTTATTTCATCAGCGATTTTTAGTAATATTATCCAAAACTTCTTCCTGTCTAAAATATGGAATCACCCGATTCTCCCCCGCAATTGATAGATCTTTTGTTCGCCATGCTTGTTCAGTGTCCACTGCCCAGGCCCACCCAGAAGGGGACTTTTTTGAGCAACATCTCGGATGAACCCAGACTGTGACCCTGGCTTTGCCTAAAGTCCTGCAGAATATAGTGTGCTGCCGCTCGACTCATAATTGGACATGCCTCTGGCCGGGTGTCAGAAGCCATCTACAATCTACATAGATTCAACATGAGCGACTCTGGTCATGATCAATGTGCCCTATGGGGCTATGGCTATGACTATATGTGCAATAGTGAACAGTGTAGTGTGGATACGATTGAGCAGTACTTGTTGGCTTGTTGCATTGTCACAACTGTGCAGAGAGTGAACGAAGATTTAAAGACCTACGGCGACGCATTATCGGCAAAATTTTCGCTTTCAGAAGATCAAAAATCCATATATTGCCGACGCTGCATCCACCCTCTGCATAGTGAGGCTGGGTGAGTGATGATGATGATTGTCAGTGGCATTCACAGCCCAGACAAAAGCTGAAAACTAATTTACAGTGTATAAATGTACAATTTTCTCTGCGCAAACTTTTTGGGGGAAGAAACTATGATGCTGATGTATCATGTACAAAGGAAAATCTTTAAATTTTTGAAGTTATACATTTTGAAGTCAGGTAGGGACGTTAGGACGTAGGGTTATTGAACTTTAGACAGGTGACCAAAATGGAAATGTTGCTTAAATGTATGATGTAAGATTGTAAGTATAGTAACTTTGTATGTGTGTGTGTGTGACTGTGTGTGTATATAATTTGATTGTTTATACATGTGCGATTGATGACCAGAGAATTAGATGATTTATATTATCAGGGAATTAAACTTTTCTTCAAATGATGGTAGATCAAAAGGCAAATTTCAGGAAGTAATCTTTCTTTATTAACGACGTTTCGAATGCAACAAACATTCATTTTCAAGTTAGAAGAGGCATTA